TTTCGGCAGAAAAGGTTACTATTTTTGCCTCTCTGCTGTCAGAGATGACAGTGTATGTAGTGCTTAAAGATGAAGGCTTTGGAGTCAGAAAGACCTAGATTCATATCTGGGTCCTGCCAACTTACAGGCTCTGTAACTCGGGGATTTTGTTTGTCTTCTAAGTTTTAGTTTCACATCAATAGAATGGGGATAGTGTTAACGTCCACTGCCAAGTCCAAAGAGGATCAAACAAGATAATGTAAGTAAAATGATGAGAAGGATGCCTTAGTAAACACTAAAAGTAATGTGAGTTGCTATTATTGTTATTACTTACCAGAGTCAGCGCAGCGGGTGGTTAAGCAGTGACTCTGGCACCAGACTGTCTGCATCCGTCTCGCTTCCCCTACTTGCTGTGTGAACTTGAACAGGCCACTTAACTTCTTTGTGCCTCACTTTTTCCTCATCTGTAAAATGAATTCTCATAGCGTCTACCTCATAGGATCGTGAGGATTAAATGAGTTAATATAAGTAAATCACTTAGCAGCATCGTCCAGCAGATGTTTCTATAATGACGGGAATACCCTAAATCTGCACCTTCCAATATGATAGCCACTAGACACATGTAGATGCTGAGTACTTGAACTGTGGCTAGTACAACTAAGGAACTGAACTTTAATTTCATTTCATTTTAATTCAGTTAAATTTCAATAGCCCCCTTGTGGCTGCTGGCTACCACATTGGACGGTGCAGACTTAGAACACTGCCTGCCTGTCGTAAAACCTGACCGTCGTAAAAAAAAAATTTGCGTTATTTAGTCACGGCTAACCTAAGTGGGCTAGTGAGAGGCAACTGTGGTGCCGGTGCTGGTGAAGTGGTTTTGCGAACAAGCAACTGCTTATTACCAGCAGTGACCGTAGGGTGGGGGAGGGGAGGAAATATCATTTGCTACTAATTCGTGGAATCCGTGATTGACAGCACTTGAAGTAAGGGCTGTGACGTGAACTAATGAATCATGTGAATTACACTGACAACTAGGTTCATTCTTTCTCAAACTTTTTCCTTCATTTCAGTTTTGATTTAGAATACAGTTATTATGCATATTATAAAGCATATAATCCATGGAAGAGAGCTTGTGATTTCCTAAAAAGTAATTTCCTCCCAAAAGTGTGTGTGTGTGTGTGTGTGTGTGTGTGTGTGTGTTTTAGTAACTTTCTTGTTTATCAAAGAAACAGAATACTGATCATTATGAAACAGCATAAAAGACAAGAACTCACTATGTCAATATCGGTGAAGGGTGTTTAACTTGAAAAAGAATCATATTTTATGTCGGTATAAAAAAACAAATATTTTAAATGGAATATTGAAAAAAATCAAGGTGCAAAAGTATTTGATGTCACTGAGTATGACATATGCTTCATCCTTTCCTCTGGTCCAGGTAATGGCTGGTCTTCTCTATAGTGAACACACGCTGCGAATTGCACACCACTTAAATCAACACATAATGTGAAAATACTATGTATAATGCTCCATTTTCCTTGAAAGCGGGAGGAAATACCTCCACTTAAATTGCCTAAGCAGAAGACAGTGATGCTGAGTGTTGGGCAGGCTTTATATTTGGTTTGGTTTGCGTTTCTGAGTTTCGTTATTATGTCAGCAGTCAGGTAAAGGACGTTTAAATCCAGGTGCAGGAGACCAGTGTCAGAAAAGGGACACGAGCCTTTGTTAATTGCAGACGACCTGAGAAGGGTCCCCTCCTTCAGGCTCCAGTATCAGGGAAGGCTGAGAAGTATTTATATACCCGTGCCAGCAGCTAATAACAGAGGTCACATCTGGAAGCAAACTGATTAGACATGACACGTGAAGTTATCTGAGAAGGCTTCATCTTCTAATCATATTCAGATCTAAAGCCTATCTCTGAAGGCCTAAACCCTGGGCCAGCCTTTCAAATACTAAATTCCCCTTATTTCTGCCATCAGTCACCTGGAAGGGTCCACTTTGCTTTGCACAGCAGAAGAATCTTTCTGTAGAGGTAACCTGCCAGTATGTAAAGGATCCTTAACTTGGAGCCCATCAGCCCCTTGCGGGCTATGGGTAGACATCCTGGGTCTGTAGTGAACCCCCTAAAACTACCTGCAAAGTGTATGTATCTTGTATTTGTCACTGTGTTTGTCCATGGGAGGAAGGGTCAGTAGCTATTATCAGATTTTTAAGGGGTTGTCCCTGTAATCTCAATAGCATACCACGAAGAAAGCAGATGACTCCAAAATATTTTTCCCCCAAAATCAAAGTGATCATAGCAAACACTTTCACCAATAGTGTCTCTAAAGCAGTCCCACTTTCTCCAACTTAGACAGTTTTTGTAAATGTTATCTTTATCCTGTATTTTTAGAAACCAAAAAGTGTTCTGAAATTTTTTTCAACTTAGGGAAAATATGTTGGATGCACTTGAGAATTAAATCACAGATTCTATGTAAAGTATTCTAATAATGCACTTTTATACAGTCATCCCTCGGTATCCATGGGGATTGGTTCCAGGACCCCTGCAGATACCAAAACCCATATCCACAGGTTGAGCATCCACAGATTCAACCAACCTTACATTCTGCTGTGCATGCCAGGTTGAGGACCACTGAGACACATTGCTTGGCATACAATCCATGCTTTGTAGGTGACACCTGCGGTTGTCACCACCATAATCAGTGTCTGCTCCACCCTGACTCCTCTTTCCAGCTCTCCACCCATCCCACCTTAGCGGGTGGAGACTTGAATGTAATGACCATGGAGAATTGGTTGCAATTTACACTTTTCTTATAGATTTTTTAAATCCCATAGACATACATTTAGTCATCAACATGTCTTAAAGAGTAAAGCCACTATTTACAATGGCCAGGACATGAAAGCAACTTAAGTGCCCATCAACAGATGAATGGATAAAGAAGATGTGGCACATATATACAATGGAATATTACTCAGCCATAAAAAGAAATGAAACTGAGTTATTTACAGTGAGATGGATGGACCTAGAGACTGTCATACAGAGTGAAGTAAGTCAGGAAGAGAAAAACAAATACTGCATGCTAATGCGTATAAACAGAATCTAAAAAAAAAAAAAAAAAAAGGTTCTGAAGAACCTAGGGGCAGGACAGGAATAAAGACACAGACGTAGAGAATGGACTTGAGGACACAGGGAGGGGGCAGGGTAAGCTGGGACGAAGTGACAGAGTGGCATGAACATATATATACTATCAAATGTAAAATAGCTAGCTAGTGGGAAGCAGCCGCATAGCACAGGGAGATCAGCTCGGTGCTCTGTGACCACCTAGAGGGGTGGGATAGGGAGGGCGGGAGGGAGACGCAAGAGGGAGGAGATATGGGGGTGTATGTATACGTACAGCCGATTCCCTGTCTTATACAGCAGAAACTAACACACCATTGTAAAGCAATTATACTCCAATAAAGATGTTAAAAAAAAAAAAAGAGTAAAGCCATAAGGTTCTAATTCTTACTATTTTTTTTTTTTTGCCGCTCCGCGGCACGTGGGGTCTTCCCGGCCCGGGTCACGAACCCGTGTCCCCTGCATCGGCAGGCGGACTCGCAACCACTGCGCCACCAGGGAAGCCCCATAAGGTTCTAATTCTTAATGCTATAGAGCCAATGAGCGAGAATCTTCTCTGGGCAATGTCCTTCCCTTTCCCTCTATTCATGAGAAAGGCTCATTTCCACATGATTTTTCCTGTGTTATAGACCCGCTTAAGAAATAAGGCAGTATAGTGCCTGGGGTGATGTATAGAAAATTCAAACAACCAATCAATTTCATTTTTAGGCGGTCAACCTAATATAACAAATATCTACCGGACACCAGCTAGATACTGGAGTTGAAAGTGGGCTAAAATAAGGTGAATAAAGCAAACTACCCCAAGTATTGCTAATCCAAAAAAAGTATGAGCTATAATGTATTGAGCCTTTGTCAATGCGCCATGCATTGTGGTAGCTGCTTTATATGCGTTAACTCGACCTACTCCTTCCCTGTGATGGAAGAACTATTGATATTATCTTGTTCCCAAGTTATTTAGAGCTTATACAGACACATCCATTTGGCATACAAAGCCCCTAGACGAAAAACAAACATAGCTCCCTGGTCACTTTCCAGCACGTCGTGTTAGTGTTAGGAAAGCATGTAGTCCCAAGTGTGTGGTACATGGTGAACACAGCATAAGAACTGATAATAATAACAACAACAATAATAATAGCATTCTACATAGATGACCCCATAAGAACGTCAGTCCTGTTTCAGAGACAAGAAAACTGAGTCTCAGAAAGGTTGGAAAAGTCACCCAAGACTCCACTGCTAGTAAGCGTTGGAGCTGTCCTTGAACTCTGGCCACTTTGCCAAATACCCAATACTTCTGAGACTTGTGATGGATAAACTCACCACTAAAAACCTTACGGCCTCCTGGACGCAGATGCTGTGGCTGCAGAGGAAAAGACCCTTTTGCCTATTTTAGTGTCCAGATTCCTCTCCTTCAAGTTCAACGGTGAGGCCTCCCTCGTCGGACATATTTCTTTCTAGAGTGCCTCCAAGTAAGAAGGCGCAGGCCCCGTGGAGCGCTTTCTTCCTCTTGAACTCGGGGATCCCTCCTGTCCTGGCAGGAAACTTGAACCCCTTCCAGGAGCAGAGTTCGTCTGGCTGCCCTCACCACGGAAAGCTGTTGCTACACCAGATGCACTTCCACCGCCTGCTGAAACCAACAGCTGGGGGCCACGGCTGTTCACCTGAATTCTAATTAGGGTGGTTTTTATAATGGGGAAACGAGTGCGATTCTAATTAGTAATTGTCCCATCTTTTTCTCGATAGGTATCCCCCAGTCAAAGCGATGGCCTCATCGCACTGGTTCCCTTGCCAAAAAATGGCCATGCTGTAAAACAGAAGGAAAAGTAAAGAGGGTTTAAAGATACAGGGGAGCATAAACAGGCGTTATGTGCTGCTAAGGAGCTTCTCTCTCTCCCAATTCACTTCTTAGGTCCATGGCGCTCAGGTAGTAGGTTCTGACATGGTTGTGACCGTTGAGTTCACCAATCCTTTAAAAGAAACTCTGAAAAATATTTGGATTTACCTGGATGGTCCTGGAGTGACGAAACCCATAAAGAAGATGTTCCAGTGAGTGCTGGGAAAGTGGGGAGGTGAGGTGGGGTTGTAGGAAGTTCTGTCCCTCTCTCCATGTTTTCCAAACTCACATCCAATCCCCAGCAAACATGTCTGAGAAGCTGCTACCTCCGAAAGCACAGCGTTGCTTTGACCAGCACTTCCATCATTCAATCCTTAAAACCACCTCAATGGGGTGGGCACTATAATTAGCTCCCTTTGGTGGTGGAGGAATTTGAGGCTTTGACAGGTTGACTGGTTTGTCCCACGTTGTGCATTTTATAGAAGTAAGCCAACATCCAGACGTGGCTGGCTGATTGCACATCCCGAAGTTCAAGGGTTTTGCCACATTCCTTCCTCGTGTACTCGTTTTTCTCGTACTTACGGAGGGTGTCACGCTGAAAGATGGCCCTTTTCTTGAGTCCTTTCTTTCCAACCCCACCTCCAAGATCTTACCAGCCCGCTCTCTAGAACTGTTGCTTTCAGTGAAACAAAGGTGAGCCTAGAGAGTTCTAGACTTGGTTCCCTATTCAAGGGACCAACGACCACCCTGTGCTCTGTAGTAACACGAATGAAACTCTGCTTCTCCCACACTTCGTGCCATCAGATCGTGCCCTACAGTTCTCAGCTTGTCTGTGTCACCCAACAGGACAGCCCATTCCGTGTTCAGGTACTTCTGGTCGTTAGAAAACAATTCCACCTTCCTATCCCACCGATGATCCAAACCCCATCATCTGGACCTGTATACAGAGTAAGGCACGTCTGTCTTCCATCTACTGGCTTGCAAATGTTTGCAAAAAGCTGTCCAGTCTTCCTTGCGTCTTCTCTGTTCCTACACTGACTTCATTCCCCTCATCCCTAACGTGGTTTCCCACATCCTCCAACTTGTCAGTACTCCTCTTAAAGTGTGACACCCAGAATGCATCCCAATCTTTGAGGTTTATTACTTTCATTTCTACCAGAAGTCCCTGGTAGAAGTCCCTGTCAGCATCAATCAATCTAGCGTATTTCCTGTGGGGTGATCTTCTAAGGTATAAAAAAGGAGGTGCAGGGATTTGGAAACTGCCTTATGACCCAGGAATGTCCCCAATGCCCTTTATGGGAGCTACCCCGCTCGGAGTCTGTGAGACAAATGTGAGGCCTCTTTCACCCTTTTGGAAGCACCTTTAAAGACAATGTGTGCACTAGGGGCTCGCTGCATTTGTTTGAAACTACAGTGCTCACAGCTTCTGCATCCCATCATTTAAGAGGTACCTGATGCTGGAGGATGCAATGAACAACAGAGAAAATAATTTGAGTGCTTTTTTTAAAAATGCAAGCACAAAACATAACAACATTCCTGTGCTAATAAGAAAGCTGCAAGAAAAAAAAAAAAAAATTAGAAATCAACCCCAGCTAGAGGGAGAGGTCAGTAGAGCTAGCCCTGCTTTCATCAGAAACGACAGTCTCACTCACCCATTCTCACACCTTCCCACTCGAATCAGATGCAAGAATCGCTCAAAGTGAAACACATTTCTTCTTTAAAACAGCCCCCTGCTGTAGCCAATTTTTCCTTCTCCAACAAGCCTCATCTGAGGGTACCAGAACCTCCTGCCACCTTGACACCTTGGCTGTGCAAGAATTCCACCTTGATCCCAAACCAATGCAAGGAAGGAGATAATCTGTGTATTAGAAGAAAGATGAATCCTAGCACAGTGCAATGACCCACCATTTAGGAGACACAGGGCTCAAAGGGGGTTGAGTGTCCAGGTGCATTTCTTACTGTTAATATCTGACATTGGGGTAGGACAAATGGGGGTGAACTGGGGAAAGGATGGAAGAGGCCAGTCCCTACACGGTGGACACAAAGCAAAAGTGCCGCCCGCACTCTGCCGG